TCTCGCCGCAGGTGTCTGCAAAGCCAAGTGCTGGACCCTCAGAGTGGGTCGTTTTTCGAATTGATCTTTTCGGAAGTTTGAAAAGGACTGTTTGAACAACTTGCTACTGCTGGGATGATAACTGATTGATTACTGATGAAATCATGGGGAGGCTTCCTGCTCCCCAAAAACCGCCGCATCTCCGGGATTTTTGACAAAAAAATATACGCTAAATAAATATTAGTTTTTCCGTCTTTTATTTCGTTTTTTGACTTTTTACATTTCGTTTCGGAATTAAAAGGTCTTTTTTTAGTGGGAAAATTGATTTTTTTTTTGTCGTTGCATTTTTAGCACACAACGACCGTGACCTTTCTCTATCAGCAGGCATAGCTTGTTTAAGAAACGGATGGGAGTTTGTTTGGGCAAAACAATGGATTACTGATGAAATCAAAATGACATTTTTCCAAAAAATATCAAATATATTCTTTTGTCTTTTATTTCGTTTTTCTTTTGGAATTTCTACTCTTGTTTTGGGGGGTCATTTTTTTATTTTTCTATACATATATCCATTTGTCTCTTGGTTGTAAAAATATCAAATGAAATACAATTGGAGTTAATCTATGATATCCTTGTCTCATATATGAAACAATATTTAAACAAAGTAGCGTGTACCAAAATTAATTCAGATATAGTGTTGAAATCCTGGGAGAACAAAGGAAATTAGGCTTGAGAATCCCGTGTTAGCATCTTTTCTGGTTCTATCTGTCCAAGTCAGCTTTATGATTTTGCTAAGGTAAATTAAATGGAACATATCTAAGAGTTGACTACCTATTCTGGTGATTTTCCAAGTTTGTTTTATTATTAAAGTTTGTGTTGCAAAGAAAACTGGGAGTAGAAATGAGGATTTTTAATCGAATAAATCAGAGCGAAGGGGTTGGAGGCAACGAAAAAGAAAGAAAGAAAGAAAGAAAGAAAGAAAGATAAGAAGTGAAAATCTCCTGCAAAAATAAACAATAAAAGAGTAAAGACTGAACTAACAGTAAAAAAAAGCCTTGCAGCATGATCAATATTATTCCGTAAAAACTATGCAAGACGCTATGTCTACCGGCTGAACGACGCCAATAGGGAGAAAATTTCAGCATATTTGTTCCAGCAAAACTCCGACCCACCCAGGCAATTCAAATCTGCCATGGGCCGTAATTACTTTACATTATATTTAATTATATTATGTTACTTGCACCAAAAATCAATACCTATAACTTTCTACATAATATCGCTTGCAGACGACTATACGGTTATACTGCTGAATTTTTCAGGCATTTATAATATGTTTATTTATTATTGTGGGTATGCATTATTTGTATCGTTTTTTTTTTTTAATGTTTTTTTTGTTGTTGTTTTGTTTTGTTTTGACTTTTTCGTATTTTTTTTTCCATTAAATTTTAGCATATTTGATTCTGTTTGTGTTGTTCTGTTTCAAGCCCAGGGAGGGTAAGAGACGAGAATACTGGAGAATTTATTTTTTGCTCCAAATACCTTATGTACAATTTATTTTCAAGTTTTGTTTTTAATATCTAATATTTGGTTTTTGCCTTTCTTTTAAACATTTTCACGGTCTGATAGTTTTTATTGATTTTTTGCGCTTTTTTCCTCGTGTTAAGATCCTCGGGCAATTTACTGAAGTCGCATGGGTTGGTATTCGGAATTATGTGTATATAGGCTCGTAGGCATATATGCATAAATACATATATGTGTGTGTGTGTGTGTGTAGACATATATATATATATATATATATATATATATATATATATATATATATATATATCGTACATGTATGTGTATGTGGACGCGTAGGCATATATATATATATATATATATATATATATATATATATATATATATAATATATATATATGAAGAAATATCGTTTTAAAATATGGAATGCTAATGCTTTGGAATACATGGAAATATTTCAGAAAGGCTTTTTTCCGATAACTGAAAAGTTGTTTTTAAAAAAAATGAATGCTCATAGATTTTCTTTCTTCAAGTCACTTTTGCTTCTCACATTGTTAAGACCAATTAAATGTGGCTCGAGAGGCAGTCAATCGGACTGATACTTTGGACGAGCCATTTAGTACATCACATAGGGAACTTCACTACAGAGTTGCGACCAAAACGAAAATAATAATCTGCGAATTCGACTCGTCTTCTTATTTCGCCTCCTCAGATATAAATCCTCTGCCATGCATGACATCCAGCCCGTTCAGAAATAACTATCAGCTATAGAGAGCTTTTTTCGGAGATCAATGGTCAAAATTGGCTTCAAGCAAAGGAATCCTCTAGGTCTTAAAGAAAAGTCCTTCATAAGATCTTATAAACTGGCATTACAGAATCTGTTTAGCTCAGAACAAAAAACATATCCCTTGAAGATGTCCGCCAGCAAGAACTACAATGGATAGCACATATAAAATTCCCACACTACATGAAACAAAAGTTTAGGAAAGAAACTCCCCTCAATGGTAGAAAGAGGTATAACAGTACATTTCAGAAACCTATTTTCCTGATAGTCTGTTTTAAGAGACGTCACAAATATTTGGCCATGCGTAATGTTAACTATTTGTTCAAGGAATGATGATGTTTCTTCTCACCATAACCATTACACTATGCCACACTGGAACCATATATGAGGATATTTATGTAATCAACGTTAGGAACTATCAGACGTCTGAATCAAATTTAATAATAAAAAGCCTTAAGAGGATATGATCTGTAGTAATCTCACATGTACTGGGTACACTCTAAGAGACACCAACGTAGACATTACACTCGGTGTCACAACAGATCGTCTGAGCAACCGGGTGCATCAGGCTGTTGAATTGAAAGGTATTTTCACAGCCACCAAGAATTAGGAACAGAAAAATTAATAATGGGCGGTGACAGAAAAGAGTATTCAGAACAGCAGACAGCAATTGACTTTTTTTCGGTTGGCTGGAAAGCATGGAACCGGAAGGGAGTTCCACAAGCGAGAAGTGAGAGATAAGAAACTGTAAGCATTTACATATAGCTAACACACTGGAAATTGATGAGATCTTGACGCTAGTCTAGTATTGGGCTTAAAATCATACAGTCTGGGCATCATAGCGAAGCGCTAATCCGAACAATTACCATTAAACTATTTGTAAAAAAGACACAGAGAGGCAACCTTACGTCGGTGGAAAAGTGACAGAAGCCGAACAGCCAGATAAGCATTGATAATATTCCTAATCCCTCCTTGGAGTTCAACGGAAATAGCAGGCGCAACGGACGATCCATATTGTTGTGGTAGGATCCACCTAATTTGCATAGTGGAGTACCGACCATATAAATATGGTTGGTACCGGGAAGAGAGGGAGGAATCAAGAGATTCAACCAGAGACTCTTCCCGACTGCGACTCAGTCAACACATTCTCCAGGAACGGTCTTACCAGGAATATACAAAAGACTATATGTAAATATTGTGTACACTTTCTTGTTTCAATACATTTTGTTCTAAGTACATTTTGTGTTGCATTATTATTCCATGGATTAGTCAAGTTTCAACACACACACACACACACATATATATATATATATATATATATATATATATATATATATATATATATATATATATATATATATATATATATATAATCTATAGTAATTATACTCGTCTGGAAAAACCTTAGGTGTTTTGGCTTGTAAATGAACAAACCAATGTCTAAGGCAAAATAAGGAATAAAAAAAAAGAAAGAACAAAGAACATGTAATTTTGGCGAAAAAATCAATCGTCCAAGAAAAAAAACTCTAAGCTCAGAGTCCAAATCTAACTATGAAAAAAGAGCCTTTCCCTACACGTCAGATAAATATAAAATATATATATATATATATAAGTGTGTGCTGTGTGTGTGTGTGTGTGTGTGTGTTATATACCGTAGCCATGAATACACTAAGTCCCGAGTAAATCTAACTATGAACCTAAAGAGTCCACCAAACAAACCTGCGTATGACGATAAACTACATCCTACGGTATAGCAGCAAGGCCTCTGATCAGGAGGTTTTGAGGAGCGTGGAACCACCTCTTAATTGCTGATGTTCCCAGGTCCACCCAGACCCGGGATGGTAGCACCTGTTAGAGTCCCAGCTATGGGCAAATAGTTAACCAAGAAACTGGGGTAACAACACTGTGAAAGTGTAAAAAGAGGTTTTCATACCAGAAATACTTTTAAAAAATTATTTCCAGCAATAAATTTTTGAATAAAAAAAAAAGGATTACCAGCAAAACTTTTTTGAAAAAAATTATTACCAGCAATACATTTTTGAAGGAAAAATATTACCAGAAATAGATTTTTGACAAAATATTACCGGCAATAAAAATTGTCGGCATTAAATAATGCATTGAGGTTGATACGCCGTAAAACAAAACAAACCAAACCAAACTAGCAGTGGTTTACCTACTTCATGGCGCTGGCGAGTATTGTATTTTGTGGATATTATAAAGATTATCATTTCATTTCCAACCTCCGTTTTGGTTATTCCTCATTCAGTAATCTTTTCTATGTTACAACAATATATATATATATATATATATATATTTGCGTATATATTTATATATATATATATATTATATATATATATATTTTATATTATATATATATATATATATATATATATATCTTTTTGGTTTAATTTAAGGGACACGCAGGTTCGAATATTTTATATAAAATATATATATATATATATATATATATATATATATATATATATATATATATATATATATATGGGGGGGGGACAAACGCTGAAGACTCGAGCAAAAAGACTTTCAAAAGAATAAATCTGTTCATTTGGTCAGATTTTGGTAAGCAGATCAGGTCGCAAATTTTTCATTAAGCGTTGATATATATATATATGTTTTGCGTATTTTCATAATGTTCTTGCCGTCTCTAGCTTAAGGCTGTACAATAATCCAATATTAAAGAAGATTCTTTTGTTTTTGTTAGATTTTTTTTTCACTTTTACCAACCTTTCCCCTTTTCTTCTGTGTTAATTATCTTTATTGTTTTTCTCTTCTTCTTCTCCTTCATCATCATCATCACCATCATCATCATTGACTACCATATTTCTTCCCGCATTTTTTTCTTTCTTTCTTTTTCCTTTATCTTCTCCTTCCCGCTCTTTTTTCGTTCCTTCTCTCTCTCCTCCTATCCTCCTTGTTCTCCCCTTCTTTATTGCTTACCTCTTCTTCCCTCCTCTTTTCTTTTCTTTTCTTTTTCTACTGCTCTTTTGTTGTTTTCCTCTTTTCTTCTTCATGTCCTTTTTTTCTTCCTCCTCCTCTTTTTTTCATCTTCTCTTTCTTCCTATTTAACTTGTTTTAGCAACTTCATATTTTTTTTTCGTTTTCCCTCTATTTTTCTCTTGTGCCCCTCTTTCATTCTTCTACAATATGCACTTTGCTCCTCTTCCTTCTACTCCTTCCCCAATTGTTCTTCTATCCTTTCTCTTTTCCTTCCCCCACATCTTCCTCTTCTCCTATATTCCGCCCCCTTTTTTAACAATCTAACTCTTCTCTTCTAAACTTCCTATTTCGTTTCCTCGTCTTTCTCTCCCAGCCCGGATTTTTCTTCACTCTCACCACCGACACCCGACAACTCATCCGAATTCTTCTTTTTTCTCCAACCACCCCACTAATACCCTTAAGGCTGTACAATTCTTGAGTACTGGATCAATGTCTTCAGGCAACACAATATTCGAAACACCGTTATATTTTACGTTTCCGCTCGTTCTGAGTAATTCAATGAACGCGTGTAGGCCTGGCCGTGTATTTGCCGAAGACATACTTCCTGCTTGCGTAAGTCGAACGCCTCACTTGAAAGCGAATAACATCGCTACATGCAGTAGATAACGAGAGACAAGTACGGACTGAAGGCTTCGACATTGATTGACATCAGCTTTTGAAAGTTACATGGATAAGGTCTTGTTTACAAATAGAAAGATTTTATAGACAGACAGACATGAACGGACGTGGATAGACGGCCAAATAGATAGATAGATAGACAGATAGATAGATAGATATGAATATATTAAGAGAGATAGACTTGAATAGATTGAGATTGATCATTTTAACAAATTGTGATAGATAGATATAAACAGACGGACATAAATAGATAGATAGATAGATAGATAGATAGATAGATAGATAATGAACAGATATAGATAGATAGATAGATAGATAGATAGATAGATAGATAGATAGATATTAACAGATGAGATAGATAGATAGATAGATAGATAGATAACAGATAGATAGATAGATAGATAGATAATAGATTGAGATTGATTATTTTAACAAATTGTAGATAGATAGATAGATATAAACAGACTGACATAAATAGACTGATAGATATAAATACACTAAGATAGACAGATAGAATATATAGATAGATAGATAGATAGATAGATTGATAGATATAGATAGATAAATTTAGATAAAACAGGTCGATATAAATACACTAAGATAGACAGGAATATATTAAGAGAGATAGATATAGATTGATATAGATAGATAAATTTTAACAGGTCGTGATAGATAGATAGATAGATAGATAAAGGCGGTCGACTCGTCAAACGAGTATGACCACCGCTGACAAGTTTTATCGGTGTTTTTAGTGAGAAAGAAACTAACTCTTGAATCTAGCAAGTGATTCGCACAGCTTATTTAGCGAACTTATTTGTTCTGTACAGGGCCTGGCTTGTTTTGTAATGTCTGTTCAGCTTGCACGTGTTTTTTAAGTGATGCTGGATATATTGATTTTCCAAGCTGTGACACAAGGCCGAAAGTATGGGGCACCCAGTGAGGATCGAACTCACTACTCAGTCGTAATTGTTCTCGCGAGACAAGCTTGCTAACCATTACACCGGCTCGAGGTGCCCAAAGTGATTTTCCAAGCGTAGCTTAGATGTAGCACAAGGCCGAAAGTATGGGGCACCCAGTGAGGATCGAACTCACTACTCAGTCGTAATTGTTCTAGCGAGACAAGCTTGTTAACCATTACACCGCCTCGAGGTGCCCAAAGTGATGCTGGATATATATGAAGGCTGGATGGCAGAGTGAATGGCCATCATTTTTTGAGCCCCAAAAAAGGTAGAAGAAGAAGGAAAGGGGGAAAAGGAGGAGGAGGAGTAAGAAGGAGGGGAGAGAAGAATCAAGAAGAAAGTGGATGTAGAAGATTCTTATAGAGGTTTAAAACCAGCCTGCTTCCTTCCTCACTGCATATTATCATACAAATAGTGAGCCATATGGTACGATGCAATATTCCACACTGCTTTCACCTATTCACGCAATACAGCAAGAGTTACCGGTGGACTGACTAAATAAGGCCGGCTAGGTCACTTACCCACCGCCCTAAAGTTACCTCCCTTTGCCATTGTCGCTAAAAACTTTCATGGTGTTCGGGTGAACACTTCGCTCTACTACTCAGACCTGATGAATTTAAGCATAGTACAAGATTATCAACAAAGTTTCATTACACTATTTACATTATTCGGATTATTGTCCTCGTCTTTGTCGCCATATTTATTACAACATTATATTCAACTGCATGCAAATACCTTTGGGAAAGTTATGAATCCACTGCTTTTTCCCCAGCTAAGGGTTAATTAGTTAGGACTTGTATCACGAAATCAGTTTTATCTAAAAAAAATTCTTTCAATCTAAAAATATTTTCTAGCTTTAAATAACCTGCCATGAGTTAACAAGCTGTAGAAAACGAATCTATCAATCAATTTGTGGAAGAGATTTCCATATTGATGCTTCCTCAGACATTACAATTTTAACCTCTTCAAGTATAGGGCCCATCGTTATCTGTATCTGTCACTATTTACATTATTCGGACTATTGTCCTCATCTTTGTCGCCATATTTATTACAACATTTCGGCCCTTCAGTATCTGTCTATATTTCTGAGATGAGGTATTATGTACACTATTTACATTATTCGGACTATTGTCCTCATCTTTGTCGCCATATTTATTACAACGTTTTGGCCCTTCAGTATCTGTCTATATTTCTGAGATGAGGTATTATATATTCACTATTTACATTATTCGGACTATTGTCCTCATGTTTGTCGCCATATTTATTACAACATTTCGGCCTTTCAGTATCTGCCTATATTTCTGAGATTAGGTATTATGTGCATTATTTACATTATTCGGACTATTGTCCTCATCTTTGTCGCCATATTTATTACAACGTTTCGGCCCTTCAGTATCTGTCTATATTTCTGAGATGAGGTATTATGTACACTATTTACATTATTCGGACTATTGTTCTCATCTTTGTCGCCATATTTATTACAACGTTTCAGCCCTTCAGTATCTGTCTATATTTCTGAGATGAGGTATTATATACACTATTTACATTATTCGGACTATTGTCCTCATGTTTGTCGCCATATTTATTACAACATTTCGTCCGTTGTACGCTCCGGCCTTCTTCAGGTGGTTGGAATGTCGAACTGAACCCTTTATTTCGCTCACTGGGGTAGACTGTTCTAGTTCCACGTGTCATATTTTAATGGATGTCATTTATCAGTTATCTCCTGTTAATTCCCCTCTGAAAGTTCTCCACTGCCTTAACCGGGTATTGGGTCCTGGCACGTGGAAATAGAACAGTCTACCCCAGTGAGTGAAATAAAGGGTTCAGTTCGACATTCTAACCACCTGAAGAAGGCCGGAGCGTACAACGGCGGAAACGTTGTAATAAATATGGCGACAAACATGAGGACAATAGTCCGAATAATGTAAATAGTGTATATAATACCTCATCGCAGAAATATAGACAGATACTGAAGGTTTCATTAATTTACAGTTGAGTTTGGTAGGTGTAATCGTACGTTCTATGCCAACAGTTTCTTTTCTCGCACTTCTCGATTGTGGAACTTTCTTTCGCTCCCATGGTTTCCAGTTAACTTTGATTTTCAAAAATTTAAATGCAACGTCAATCCTTATCTACTGTCTTTTTGATTATTCTTCCATTGTTCTCGCTTCTTAGTAATGTTTCTGTTTTCTAATTCTTTCCCATGCAGTAACCCCTTCTGTCTCAGTGGCTTTATTGCCTTGACTTTGCTCCGTCTGATTATTAAAAAAATATGTTCAATGGGAGCCAGGTCTAGCAATCGTATTGGCAAATTAAGTTATCGAACATCCTATAGAGAATACTCAATAATTCTCTTATCATAAATGAATTAGGATTTCTGTATAACAATTGCTGTTATGCGTTCATATACTTACTCAAATAGTTAAATTTCATCATTTTAATATTCATATCAGATTACAGCATGAAATGGAAATACCTGCGGGGTACCATGCTCGTGTTATGACTGAGCAAATACCTGCGGGGTACCATGCCCGTGTTATGACTGAGCAAATACCTGCGGGGTACCATGCTCGTGTTATGACTGAGTAAATATATGCGGAGTACCATGCTCGTGTTATGACTGAGCAAATACCTGCGGGGTACCATGATTGTGTTATGACTGAGTAAATATCTGCGGGGTACTATGCTCGTTTTATGACTGAGCACATATCTGCGGGGTACCATGCTCGTGTTCGGACTGAATAAATATCTGAGGGGTACCATGCTCGTGCTATGACTGAGCAAATATCTGCGGGTTACCATGCTCGTGTTATGACTGAGCACATATCTGCGGGGAACCATGCTCGTGTTCGGACTGAATAAATATCTGAGGGGTACCATGCTCGTGCTATGACTGAGCAAATATCTGCGGGGTACCATGCTCGTGTTATGACTGAGTAAATATATGCGGAGTACCATGCTCGTGATATGACTGAGTAAATATATGCGGAGTACCATGCTCGTGTTATGACTGAGCAAATACCTGCGGGGTACCATGCTCGTGTTATGACTGATAAATATATGCGGAGTACCATGCTCGTGTTATGACTGAGTAAATATTGCTCATTCCATATATATGTGTTAATTACCGTTAATTCAAGCTGTTTTCCCAGCAACAAATAATAAAAAATTTACCTTGGTACCTAGATCACTTTTTTTCCTATTTTAATGTTATGTTTCTTTATTTTTTTACACTTACGAAATTGGACTCGAAGGTTCATAGGCTATGAAGCGGTGATGCTAGAACTGTGAATTATTGAATGCATTCATTTAAACTCTTATTAATAACTGTATTGTTTCGTTCCAGTTACGAGTCACGACTGAAAATTTAATAGACTATGAAGGAATGATGCTAGAACTGTGAAATCTTGCTGGTATTTATTTCAACTCATTTCAACTATTGTTTGTTTCTACGTACGAGTGAGGGCTGAAATGTTCATAGGCTGACTATGAAAGAGTGATGTTAGAACTGTGAAATCTTGCTGGCATTCATTTCAACTCTTCTTATTAATAAGTGCAATTTTTTTCTTTTCAGATACGAGAGAGGGCTGAAAACTTCATAGGCTGACTATAGGCAGTTGTGATCAGCCAGTTCAAATCCACAGTCATACACAGAAGCCATATGTGCTGAAGCGTTTTCCTGATGAAACAAAATCCCTTTCTTCAGTTTTCCTAGAAGTTTGGTCTTTATAACATTTCAAAACTCTCTCATCAGGTTGATATCGTTCTCTCCGTTAATGATGTGGCCCTTTTAAAAATAGTCAATAAACACATTGCAATTGCATCCCAAATATTTGTGGTCATCTACTTCATTGCAGATGAAACGATTTTGACCTTCTTTATGACAGGTGAGGAGGGGTGTTTTCACTGTATTGATTATCTCTTTGTCTCTGGCTCAATGAAGAAAGCAACACTCATCCTGGGTTAGGCAATGTCAGATTTTCCCATGATGTGATCAGCCTGGTGCTCTTATGATTAGGTGTCAGAAGACGTGACACTCATCGTGCAAAAACCTTCGTTATGCCAAATTCATTGTGCAGCATACTCTCAAGTCTCCCACGTGATATGCATTGGCTGTCATTCATCACCATGTATTTAACATGAGCAATGTTTTCCTCGGTGGTGGCTGTTGCAGGGCGTCTAGACTTTGGGTCATTTTCAAGACTCTGTCTTCCCCTCCGATATTCAGCTGGCCACTTTCCACTCTTGATAAAACTGAAGTGACATTCCCTAATGTAGCAACCATGCCAGTATGAATATTTGGTAAAGGCACAATGCAAAATTTTGTTCGTTTTCAAGAGAAGTCGCTACTCGTTAATTTTAAAATCTTCTGGTGGTGCACATCCATGTCCAAGTTAAACTACAGTCGATGTTGTCTAACTTGAAAGCTAGTCATGGATACGTGTCCGTTGATTCCATCGAGGAAACACTCGGTTCTAGCCATTCTAGGAAGCCCTCCGTCCAGTGATGCTGTGTCATCACCTCACTACCTGAATACATACGACTCCATTGTGCTAGATGGCCGTTGACCTTACAAGAAGGCTCATTTGATAAGTCTTGTTTTAATCCTGAGGTACGTCTGACCACCCTCCTCAACAGAAGAACTTCCTGGGGGAACAGGTTTATTCGCCGCTGGTCCAACCAAACAGCGAATAATCTACGAAGCTTCTCTAAATTGGTGGCAGAAGAGGGATTGGGAAGGAAAGCAAAAAAAATCAAAAACATTTAATCATTTCACCCCAAGAAAGGCGATAAAGCCACTAATATGCAAGAGGTTACTGAGTGTGAAATAACCTGGAAAAAATATTATTAAGGAGAAAAAACAGTAAAAGAAGAGAAATGAAGGAATCAGAAGATGACGATTGTTATTGCATTTAAATATTTAAAGATCAAAGCAGGAAGCTAGGAAAGAGCCCTACAAACAAAAGATGAGAGAGAAGAAATTGTTAGCATAGTATTTATGGTCACATCCAGAAGTTTCAGCTGCAAAATGATGAGTGAGACCTAACTGCCAATCAAGTACTGTGATTTAATTCGTTAAGTCTAAGTATCAAAGAGAAAATCTCTTAAAACAATAAGCATGAAGTTAATTAACATTGCTCAAAGCTACAAGAGAGAGGAAGCTGATGAGAGCCTTCATCGCCTATAATTTGGAAGGACATAGAAGATGAAAGAAGCATTTCTTTTTTTTCATTTCTTTTTCTTCTGTTTTAATAAGGATTTTTTCTTTTCTTTTTTCCTGTTGTTCGAACTCTGTGTCTTACTCTTTCTACAAATGGAAGCTAAAAAACAGTTTTGCTTCGTTGCTAAAAGTAACACATCTATTTAATACGTTCAAAAGAAACTCTGAAAAAAAAACCCCAAAAAACATGGAGTCAGTGATGAGTGTAAATCAGTAGCGCAACTGACGTCGTGGACATCAATTAGTTTCCCGCGATAATAGCGCAACTAATTATTTCTTTGCTAACAATATACATGATTCTTCTTTCTCGTGTTTACAGCTGTCGTTTCTCATCCTTTTGATTTTAGTACCATTTAAACAACACACACACATATATATATATATATATATATATATATATAAATAAATAAATTAGATCAGCCGATCACGCTTTAAAATTCAAAGCTCTGCATAACCAATAACTGTTTTATGATTATATATATACACATTATGAAATGGACAAAGTCCGACAATTATTTTAAGATATTTTTATGTTTATACATTCTTTTTATAGATACAAGTATTTAAGTAAATGCTCTGTTTATAATAAACAGTATTAAACAACATCTACCGGCCTGAATGTCCGAGAAATGTTCACAGAAAATATTTGTCTTCCGACAGAGTTCGAACCTGTATCCTATACGGAACCGTCACTTAGCTTGACGTGCCTTTACCGATTTGGCCACGAATGAGCGTTCGGTTAGCATGGTCGAATTTACTGTCTTCAAACTTCAATCTTCCATGAATCTCTCACGTACATTCATATCTGCTCATGGCGTATCCAAATGTAAACAAATGACGTAACACATTATGAAATGGACAAAATCCGACAATTATTTTAAGACATTTTTATGTTTATCTATAAAAAAAAAAAGTATGTATAAACATAAAAATGTCTTAAAATAATTGTCGGACTTTGTCCATTTCATGATGTGTGACGTCATTTGTTTACATTTGGATACGCATCGAGCAGATATTTCGTACTTTGGGGGATTTTATCCAGACAAATATAGGATTTATTTTGTTGTACGTGTTTATATACAAAAACAAGAATATCATTGGCTTATCAAGGTTTTTAAAGGTTAGAACGCTCATAAATATTCATGGGGTTGTTGAAAGGTCAGTCAGAACATGTGGAGGATAAACGGTGTCATAATTCAAAGTATGGTAAAAGAATACGTGAATAATATTCAAGAATTTTTTTAAATGAATATTGTTTAAATTGTGATTAGATAAAACAATATTTATTTAAAAACATATTGCTTGAATATTACTCGCTTACTTTCTAACTCATCAAAAAAAAAAAAAAAAAAAACAAAGATCAATCGTTTTACATAGAAAAAGCTTTTTTCAACATGTGAGCTTTACTTGTGAGTACTTTGTACTTCTTTTAGGCATGGGCTACCCTTCAATGTGTCTATCGGAAGCTTTTCCAATCAATCCGAGTGCTCCAAATACAACTGGAAATTTTGATGTCCTCAAGTGCCACATTTTTGAGATTTCTATTTCAACATCTTTGTATTTTGATAGTTTTTTTGAAGATCTTCAAAGATACATAGCAATCTATAGGGACTGCCATGTCAATAAGAACGTAGATTCTATTTTTGTGGACTCTAATCACGATGTCCGTCTGGGTGGCTAACTTTGATTCGTCTGTCTTTATGTATCGTAAAAGTCTCATACAATTGTTATAGGTCCCAATCTGTGTACCCGGGTCTGGGTAATGTGCATAAGCCAGTCGTTCACTTTTGAACCGACTGCTCGGTTGAACTCTCTTCCTACGGGCGGGAGGAACCCGAAGGAGGCTCCGCCGAAGGGCGAAGTCTCCTTCAGGGAGGTAAACCGGCCCTGAACCCGTTTATACGGGTTCAATGGGCATATTTTTGGCCGATGCCCACGTTAAAAACGCCTTGTGCCACATGACACCCTCGTGGGGGGTGACTCAATATCGTGATGTGCATACTGGTTGCTTACAGTTTCATTCCCGTAAATGTTTCATATTTTCCAGTGAGATATTTTCCCTACGACCTGATACAAGATAGTCAATTGTTTCTGGATATTTATCACAGAATCCTATATTTGCTAGTTTCAGTGCTTGTATTCGATTTTTCATGGATTTGATCAAGTCTGATCCATATTTGCCACTCCTTTAGCAACGTTTCTTTAAGGGTTGCAACTGACGTGATTTTGGTCAAGGTGTTCTATTGGATTCTTGTCAGGATTTTGGGATACCCATGGCAGTGATTTGATTCCTTACGATTCCTTCTATGTCCTGAAGGGGAAAAGATTTTTAAAAATTCATGTTTTCGACAATTTTTTTTTAGAATGTACAGATAATTTGTTTTAAACGTAACAGCTTAAATGCATTAAGCTTGTTTTTATTATTTTTGTCTGAATATATCCTGGTGAGATGGGGGCGCTTCTAATATGTCTTTGAGTCTTTTATGTCGTCACATACAGGAACCTACGAGACATGCTTATTAATCATAACGTTTACTGTTATATTAATTTAAAATATAAATTGGGAAACACGTTAGATTCAAGGAATGCCACGATGATTATTACAATCATTACTAAGTGTTTCGTACTTGTAGCCTTGAACGAAAACTAATTTAATGTTTTAGCAAATACCAACAAGCAGCTGGATAGAAAATATAGTTAATTAATGAGTTAATGAGTGGATTCTCGCATACAGAAGTTTTTTTTTTGGTTTTTTTTCTTAGAATTTTTTAAAGGCAATTAAAATTTACTAAGACCTTTCAATGACACAAGGTTG